GCAGAAACCCAGCTGAACACCTCTGGTGTGACTTTAAATGCAGACACTGAGACAAAAGCTCATCACCAAACACCAATGACTAGAATAGAAAAGGGTCTTGTCCAAACTGTTGCTATAAAATTAGAATCACAATATTCCCCAGAATATCATTATACGTTTTAACATCAAGATTTGTACTCCTGGAAATGACTAAAGTAGTCAAACCTGTTCAATTAGAACACTTTACTTTTGTTTTATCCATATAGTGTATACAATCCCAGCTACATTACAGTCTTGATAGACATTGAAATACCCTTTGCTTTGACTTGCCAACTACTTTAAGATTAACCCCTGTGTGTCAGTTTAAAAAGTTGCACAGAGGTCCTTAGAGGACAAAAATGTCCATGTCAAAAACGGTCATAAAAATATATTAGTATTTTTCCCCCCCGCTTTGATATGGATCTTGTTACCAACATTTGTCTTGATCATAACTAACACAAAATAATTTCTTTTCAATATTTTGACCTGGTAAATGGCAGTTTGTTTACATGATGGCACTGTTGTCATACTAAATGCTAAGCAGATTTTCTTTTGGATTATTACAGCTGTGTATATGTTAGTGATTAGCAACAACATGTATTTTAATGCATTATCATTTTTGTGCAGTGTCAGATTTATTTTAAAAAACGTACAATTCATACATACTTTTCTCAGTAGACACCATAGGTAGACACATGCAAACCACACTCCGGCATCCACAGAATTATAATTACATAAATTTTTTTTGTTTTCTCCCAGCAGAAAACAGGTAAAAAGTGAGGCTATTCTTTATAGGCCAGAGAACCTGAGAAAATGGTTTCATCAGGTGGAAAATAGTAAAAAAAAAAAAAAGTAAATATGTTGTAGCCTTGCCAAAAGATTGAAAGCCTATTAACAAAGAATGCATACTTTTATGCTTCAGTGGCGCTAGGATTAAATATTGCAGATTGAATGGTAGATCCTGAGTAAGTGTAAAATATGAAATATTCCAATTCCAATAGAAAATACACATTTCATGCTGTTTGCATTAACACAACCAAAATGAATTATGCACAAGGGTTAAGGGGCTTTAAAGATAGGACAGAGTTGAAATTGTACAACATCACATTATAGTCTTCTTAACAAAGAGAAAAGTCTGCCACTTTTTGTTGTTTTCGAAAAGTGAAATAACTTTTTTTTCCATTAGAGGTAAAATATCATTGTAAATGTCTCTGAATGACATTCTGCTGAAGGTGGAATGACATTTTTGTTTTACTTACCCTTTGATTCATGTATAATATGAAGGCAGTACAATTTAATCTAATGCAATAAAGGTTTTAAAGTCTTCCTGTAAGGTCACATTGTTCCATTCATTGCCTAGTAATGGTATGACATGCCCTTGTACTCTTTCAGAAAGTGAATGGAGTTCTTGAAAGTCCCACTGGCACTGGTAAAACGCTCTGTCTGCTGTGTTCAGCGCTGGGGTGGAGAGAGCACTTCAAAGACACCATCTCTGCCCGCAAGATAGCAGAGAGAATGGGAGGTGCGGAGCTCTTCCCCGACAGACCGATGTCATCATGGGGAACAGCAGCCACCGACGGAGACACTCCAAGTATTGTCCTTACACTGATATGACTTATAAACTAAATTCCTTTGACAGTTTACATGCTGGACAGCGTTAGGAGTTGTACTTCAAAACACAAGTGTCATAATCGTGAGTTTTGTCTTTCCTTAATATTATAGCTTATTACACAGACATCCCCAAGATCATATATGCATCCAGGACCCATTCACAGCTAACACAAGTCATCAGTGAACTGAAGAACACATCATACAGGTCAGCTATCTGAATTAATATCACATATTCAAAGGATATTGTGCAGTCGGACATTTATTATCACATTTAGAATATGAAAACATATAATGGAAAACGTTACATACAGCTAAAAGGGTTTTCAACATTTTCTGTTAATACATATACTACTGTTTTAATAAAAATACAGTAATATTGTGACATTATTACAATTTAAAATAACTTTTTTCTATTGTAATATATTTTAAAATGTAATTTATTCATGTGATACAATGTTGAATTTTCAGCATCATTACTCCAAGCTTCAGCGTCATGTGATCCTTCAGAAATCGTTCTGATATGCTGATTTGCTGTTCAAGAAACATTTAAGCATTCTTGCTGATTAAAAATGATTTCATTTTCATTTTTCAATAACTGATTGTATTGTTCTTGCAGGCCAAAGATGTGTGTTTTGGGATCAAGAGAACAGCTCTGCATAAACCAGGAAGTGATGCGTCATGAAAGTAACCACGTTAAGGTATGATTCACTGTTATTTTAGTATAAGTGAGATACTATAATAGGCTTTAAAAATATTAAAATCTGTTTTTATTTTTGTATTTTCCATTTTAATTTTGGTCATTTTTTTTGCATTTTCTGTGTTTTTAGTAGTGTGTGTATATGTGTGTATACACACACATATATATATATATATATATATATCTCAGCACCATATTAATGAAAGCATTATGTCTTTATTTCAAGGTTCACATGTGCAGAGCAAAAGTATCGTCTCGCTCCTGTGTCTTTTACAACAATGTTGATGGTATGAAGACTAAAAGTGGTGACATACCAGTAGAGCTTTGTGTTAGTTATAATGGTTTTGATTGTTAATTTGTGAATCTGCTTATAAATAGAAACTGTTGAATATTTATTTTTGTTTTGTTCCTTTTTAGAGAAAAGCACTGACAAAGAAATCATGAATTCTATTCTGGATGTGGAAGATCTTGTAAAAACAGGCAAAAAACAAAGGTGAGACACTGCACGCTGTTTCATGGCTTGACTGCAGCGCTGAAAGAAATAGTTGTGTTTAAAACATCTTAAATCTGCTGATGCAGCATCTGACATGTTTCCAGTGTGAGTATTTTCTTTTTGAGTGTTTGTAACTAGTGACATTGATCAGATTGTTTGTTCCTGTAGAGTGTGTCCATACTACCTGTCACGCACACTGAAACAACACGCTGATGTCATCTTCATGCCATACAACTACCTGCTTGACCCAAAGGTGAGACATTTATCCTGCCGATATCATCACTTTAAATACACTACTGTTAATTTTTTTTTAATGGTTTTGAAGAAAGTCTCTTATACTAACCAAGACTGCATTTAAAGGCTTAGTTCACCCAAAAATGTAAATTCTGTCATTAATTACTCACCCT